TAACAGGAAAGACAACAATATAAAAATCCTTGCATACCTTGTTTGATTGGAGAATTTTAATGTTTTTCATTTATCATTGTAAAACCAAGGACAATTTTATAACTTTTTTGTACGTGGCTGTTACATGTAGGGTAATCTGTCTTTAAGTAGGAGTAAATTATTCCTAAAAAAAAAAAAAGAATCCTTGATAGCTTTCCCTTGAAGTCAGGTGTCTTGTGGTTTAAATAAACTTCTTGTTTAAAAAAATAAAAATAAAAAGTTAAAATGCAGAATTCCAAGTGATTGTGTCGATACTCTACCTTCAAGGAAATAGGGCATGGCTCCCACTCCTTGCGTGTGGATCTCCTGTAGTGACTTCCCCCCAGAGAGTACCAGACAGGAAGGGGACAGTGTGAGTTTACAGGAGAAGGCTGACAGCAGTACGCCACCCAGTGACAGGTCTGCTGCACAGGACATGTCCTTAGTACAGCGTGATGCTAGCTTGACTTCTGTCTGTGGCCTTTCTTCTCAAAACCTACAACCCTCGTCTAGGGATGGCGAACCTTTTAGAGATAAGTGCCCGAACTGCAACCCAAAATCCACTTCTTTATTGCAAAGTGCCAACACTGAATACTGAGGTTTTAGTTTAGAAAAAATAACTCATACATTAACATCTTTTGTCTTAAAAGAAAAGTAACATGTGTGCCAGAGGTTTGCCACCACTGCCGGAGTCTAATTCTCACACAAGTCCCAGGGAAGGGACAGTCAGAAAGCACCTGCTCAGAACTACTGAAGGCTGTCCAGGTTATCAGCAACAAAGAAAGTCTGAGAAGTTGTCACTGCTGTGAGGAGTGTAAGAAGTGATGATTAAATGTCATGTAGATCTTGGGTGAGATCTGGGGATAGAAGAAGCACATTAGGCAGAAACTAAGGAAGTGTTATTAAGGTACGGCTTTGAAATAACAATAATGTATTAGTACTGGCTCATTCGTTGCAACTGTCCTGGGTCTCATATCCTCTAAGCTTGAAAGCTTAAGGTTATGGGAAGGGTGATATGTATTAAAGTATACAGTGCGCATTTTATTAAAGTTGCTGCTATCATTATTATGAATATACAAGCAAATATATTCTTGCAACAAATGTGTCTTAAAAAATCCAAAACATGTAAATAAAAACCCCCAAATTTACTAAATGTCTCTTCAAGGATATTTCAGATCACTGGCTAATGACCCCACCTACAGGTCACCTCTGGGAAAGTCATTTTGTTTAGCATACTGTTTACTTTTTCTGTGTTTTTTTTTTCTTTTTGTACCGAGAATCAAACCTAGGAACTTGCACTTGCCAGGCAGGCACTTGCGCCACTGAGCTATATACGCAGCCTTCTGTTGTTATCGAGATGGGTTCTTATTACATTGCCCAGGATGCTCTCCAGCTCATGGGTTCAAGAGATTCTCCTACCTCAGCCTCCTAAGTAGCTGGAACTACAGGCATGTGCCATCACAACTGACTAACATACTATTGGTTAAGGCTTGAAATCTATAAAGAAGTCAACCTGTAGAAAAGGCACAACTCAAACTTACTCAGCCTCCCACACTAAAAATTATTTTTGTTGAGCAGAAAAAAAAAAGTTATAGTTTTATTAAGTGGGAATCCACTTTTTGAAAATTCACATTTTGTAAATAACTTTGCAGTCTTATTCCAGCATTCTTTTTTTCACCATCAATAATGGTCTTTCACTTTTTCCTTTGACTACCTTGCTGGTTCATACAATAAGTAGCTCAATAAATCTTGGTATTCACTATGTATTTTTATTAGTCATGTTTATTTTTGTGAAAATTTTATTTTGATAAATGGTATCATGCGGTACATTATTTTTTACCACTCAGTTATTTTCGTTTCATACATTTTGAAGACAGGTTCATAATAGAATAGAAAGATCTTCCTTATTCTTACAATATTGGGGATAGAACCCAGGGTCACTCTACCACTAAGCTCAACCCCAGATCTTTTCATTTATTTATTTATTTATTTATTTTTTATTTTGGGGGGTTTTTTGAGACAGGGTCTCACTATGCAGTTCAGGCTGGCCTTGAACTCACTTATGTGGCCCAGGCTGGCCTCGATCTCACAATGATCCTCCTAAGTCAGCCTCCCAAGTGTTGGGATTACAGGCATGCACCACTACGCCCGGCTGATCGTTTTAGTTTTTGAGACAAGGTCTTATTAAGCCGCCCAGGCTGGGTTCAAACTCGTGATCCTCCTGCCCCAGCCTTGTGGGTAGCTAGGGTTGCAGGCTTGCACCACTGTGCCCAGCTCTTAGTCTTGCTTTGCAAGGTACAGTGTAGAATACAGTGTATGGGTGTACAGTGATTACCCCATAATCGAGTTGGCCACCCCCTTGTTGACGGACTCTTGCAGGTTGGAAGCAGGTTCACTTAGGCAGAGGTGGGTGGAAGGGTAGAAGAGGCTCTAGGTGGGAAAGGAGCCTAGGAAAGGGCTTGGTTACCTGCCCCCAGCATGGCCTAGCCCATCTTCCTCTAATTCTGCGCCTTCCTGGCCTCCTCTTCTTGTCTCTTCCTCTGCATCCTGAGCTCCTGGTATTGCCAGAGAGGAAGGGCAAGGCTTTGACGCCCTTCATACCTGGGCAGCATCAGCTTGAACTGGCTGGGAGATGAAGGTGCCTTGGAGAGGAGGATCTTGGGTACTGGGCTGCTGGTACTGTTCCTGGGCTGTAGCCACTGAGAGAACATGCCCTGAGGGTTGTAGGGGACAAAGACTTGGGAGCTGGAGACCACTTGAGGGGGCTGGGGAGACAGAGGAGGAGGTGGGGCAGTACCTAGCAGCTCTGGCACAGACCTGCTTCGGGTGCCCAGGGTTGGGGGATGGTCAGGGCACAGACTGTGGCAGGCAGTGGCAAGGAAGGGACTAGCCAGGCTGGTAGTGATGGTCACAAAGTGGTCCAGGACGCCCCCCTCCTGAGGACACTGAGCAGAGGACAGACTCAGGTTGGCCTGCAACCTTTCCAGGAAGGACGGGGTAGCCTGGGCCTGGGCCTGGGCCACAAGCCCGCGCAAGGCTGGCCATTCCAGCTGGTAGTGCTGGCTGAGCTGTTCTGCGCAGGGCCGCCGCAGCAGCTGCCGGATCCTCCACACTACGTCGAAGCTGTCAGTCAGCAGGGCCCACTCCAGGGCTGTCTTGCCCCGAACAGGATCCACAGAGGTCAGGTCAGCACCTGGAGGGGGCACAGAGTGACGAGGGGTAGGATTTCGGGAGGGGTGGATAATCTGTAGCGGGAGGACTGACTTGGGTTAGATGCCAAACCACAGTCCCAACATGAGACGCCTCTCTCCTTTGACGAGAGAGAAAGAGATGGATCTCTAGCCAAGGAGAGACTACAAGAGCCTCCTACGGGTCTCCAACCCCGAATAGAGTAGGGGCGTCCTGAACCCAGGAGCTGGCAGAGGAGCGGAAGGCCTGTGCCCGCTGGTCAAGTGCGGGAGAGGGGCTGCCGGCCCCTCCTCCTGGTTCATCTCTTTGTCACCTGAGACAAGCAAGGGGTGTGGACTCCTTCCCTCCTTACCCCAAGCCCAGTAGGGTAGGGAAGGGAAACTGGAGGTTGAGAGGGCAGCCACCCTGGGGCATAACAGGGGTCCACGGTTCCACAGTGTGGTCCCAGCCCTGAATAATCCATGAGGCCGCAAGTCTCATTCCAGAGAAGGCCAGCATCCTCACCATGCTGGTGAGGCCGAGAGGAAAGCCACGTGTCCAGGTCCCTCAGCCCGAGGCCGCCAGGACTAGAACCCAAGAGTCTTGTTCCAAACACCAGCCTTCCGTTGTCTTCAGCTTTACAGCTGTTCTGAGTTACTCTTCCGAACTTTCCTTTCGGGGCCCTCCAGAGACAGCTATCAACAGCTGGCCCTTGTTTATCGTGAGAAGCCTGAGGCAGGCCCCCTCCTCCAGGAAGCCAGCCTAGACTGACCCTCCATGTCCGCCTCTCCCCTCGCTACAATAAATGCTGACTGATTTAGTGTTGCGGGGGGGAGCTCGGGAGAGAACCTGGGGCCACACGCCCAGCCCCGGCCCGTGCACCTGCCATGAGGAGGGTGGCCACACACTCAGAGCGGTCCCGAATGGCAGCCTTCATCAGTGCTGTGAGCCCCCGCCGGTCCCGGCGCTCCAGGTCCAGGCCCGGGAAGTAGTTGAGCAGGAGACCCACCAGAAGCACGTGGTCTGCACGGCAGGTAAGGGCAGAGTTTGGCTCCCCAGGAAAGTGTGTGATGGGATCCCAAACCCACCCTGCGCCCGACGCTGCACAGCCTGGCAGGGAGAAACCTGGGGGAGTCAGGGCTGCGGCCCTAATGGCTGGTGGAGGCGGGGGTCGGCAGCCTCTCACCTGCTTGGACAGCCAGCATGAGGGCCGTGTCCCCGTCTTTGTCCTGCTGGTTCACATCCAGGAAAGGGCAGCGGCTGAGCAGGGCCACAATGCTCTTGAAGCCTCGGTAGCACGCAACCATGAGGCCTGTCTGGGGGTGGGGCAGCTCAGTCCCTACCTTCCTTCAGGGTCTCCCTAGGAACCCCGGGCCTCTAAGCCCACACCTGTCCAGGGCGCGTCCCCGCACCATGAAGACCACCCGCACCCACCCCTTCCTTCTAAGGACCCAAGCAGTGCGGACTGATCCTGAACTCTCAGGAGCCAAGCCAAGACTGTGAGGTGAGGAGATGGAGCTGCCCCAGCTGCCTGGGACGCCCCCGGGGCACCTCACCCTTCCATTGCTGTCCACTTGGGTGGCCTCCTCTGGGGACACCCCAGCATCCAGCACAGCTTGGAGCTGGACAGGGTTGTTGTGGGCACAGGCCCAGTACAGGGCCCCCAGCCTGCAGCCTGGGCCAGGCGTCTCCTTGCCAGGGCAGGACAGTCCCTCAGACATGTCCAGCCCTCCTCCTCCTCCTGCTCCTCCTCCTCCGTGCGAGGGCAGCTCCTCCTCTTCCAGGGTGGGGCCAGAAAGCAAGTCTTTCCTCTCGCAGCTGGCAGCTATGACAGATGGAGAGGAGGGCGTCTCCCTGGGTCCTGGGTGGGGTCCCCGCGGCTGTAACCCTTGCCTAGGAAAAGCCTTTCTCCTGGCAGATGCCTCACCCACGCACTAAGCAAAGGATGGAAGGAGAGAGCTCCAGCGAGGCTCACAGCAGGGGCCTCACCTGGGGTTAGGTGACGATCTCCAAGAGGTGGTCATCGCCGGGGCCCAGAGCACCCCCAGCTGCCGCGGAGCACACTCAGCGGCCTCTGGAGTGGCCGGAAGGACTGTCCCTTCCCAGAAGCAATGCGGGAAACAGATGGCTGGACTTTCTTGGAAAGAGCTGCTGCAAACTCCCCGGGGCCGAGCTGGGTCAAGCGGGTTAGGAAGGGATTGGGGACTGTGAGAGGAGGGTGCTCTGGGTCTGGAGCCGATCAAGAGGCTCCTAAGATCCTGCAGTCTGGGCTGCGCCTGAGCCTCAGCTCCTCCCAGCCGGCAGCACTGAGAGTAGGACTGGCCTAGCCCTCCTTGGCCTCTTCTCCGCAGGGGAAGCAGCCTTCTCCCATCTGCCTGTGAGAGTCTGAAGCCGCCTTTCTTTGGGTGGAGTGGGGCTCAGGGAAGGGGCAGAGGCAGAGAGGATGTGAAGGCAGGAATCTCATTAAATGGGGTTGGGACTCACAGGATGACTACGGGCCAGGGGACTCCAGGGGTCATCTGAACCTACTTTTTCAAGTTCTGGGAAATTAAAGCATAAATTGTAATTTAAAAGTCTAGAAATGTGGGATGTGCTGGTGCTCACCTGTAATCCCAGCACTTGGGAGGCTGAGGCAGGAGGGTTCTCGTGAGTTTGAGGCCAGCCTGTCTCAAAAAGTCCACCCCCAAAAGTCTAGAAATTAGGATGTATTCAATTTAATAGATTAGTTTTGGTGTGTAATTAAATATGAACTATTTAAAGTAAACCCTTAATAATAGATTGTTTTAAGATTAACATTAAATTTAATGAAGTGGACCTAAAATATAGAAAATTGAGCCAATCATATTACTCCATTTGCCTTAATTTTATGCAGGATGCTGTCTTGGGTTTTGTTGTTGCTTTTGGTTTGATTTAGATTGGTTTGGCTTTTTGAGACAATATCTCATTCCGTAGTCCAGCTGGCCTTGAGCTTGCTATAGCAGCCTAGGCTGGCTTCAAATTTACAATCCTCCTGCCCCAGCCTCTTGAGAGCTAAGATTATAGGGTGTGGCACCATGCCTGGCTTATTCTCTTGTTTTATTTTACTTTATTTTCTTTCCTTTTTAATCCTTGGTCCCCATACCCCTTTCTCTTCCTCACTTTACCAGTTATCCATTATATATCCTTAAAAATATACATTTCATCAAAAAAGTGGTGTTGATTTGTATATGTGCTTTCATTTTTTTTTACTTTTTTTTTTAATGTGTTTTTTTGAGACAGGGTCTCACTTTGTAGTCCAGGCTGGTCTTGAACCCACTCTGTAGCTCAGGCTGGCCTCGAACTCATGGTGATCCTCCTGCCTCTGCTTCCCGAGTGCTGGGATTACAGGCGTGCACCACCACGTTCAGGTGTGTGTGCGCTTTAAACCACCTTGTTATCAATTGCGCTGTGGAGCTCCTTCTGTTTGGGTTTGTTCCCCTCAATACTGTGTGTTGAAGATGCAGCCTCGTGGCTTCATGTGTGGTTCATGTTCTTCTGAACTGCAGAAGCTGGAAAGCTACACACACTTCCTGGGTTTCCTTGAGCTAAGACTGTGGCTCAGGTCCTGCGTTTGCGCAAGACATAAATTTGGAACAAAGCGTGGCACATCCGTTCTGCTGTCACAGATCATGACAGCAGCAGGGCAGCTCCGGAGCAGCTTCCTGATTCATCAGCTTCCGGCAGTGCTGACTTGTTTTTTCAATCCCAGGCCGAGGTTCATGTGACCCTTAAAGCTTGGCATTGTCCCTGACCTAGAGCCTAATTTCCAACCCTTTGTGTTTAAACTATCCAGATTTATTTTTATGGTTTGCAACTGATCTTTAACTGATGCATATGGCTAAGAAATAAGGGTTTATCTTTTTACACAGGATAAAAAGTTCCAGGATAAAAATAAGCTGTGGGTGTTAGTTAGGCAACTTGATGTCAGGGTCTGCTTCCCTGGGACCCTCTTATTTTCCCTCTTAGCCACACGGCTGACATACCTGGGCATTACAGTGAAATGTCAGTGTGTGCAAGGAATCCTGGATTCTGTCAGACACTGGGCCAGTCTCCCTCCTTCCTTACTAATTTTCAATAAGGTGTGATTATGTACTACTGCAATTTTGTCCAGTGAAATGCTAACAGAAATCTGATGGGTGGGATTCCTGGGAAAATCTTCACTTTCTTCACAAAAGGGAGGGGTGTGCTCTTCAACTTCTTTCTTCCTAAACCATTCTTTTTTTCTTTCTTTTTTTTTTGTCTTTTTTGAGACAGGATCTCACCGTGCAGCTCAGGCTGCCCTTGAGCTCACTTTGTAGCCCAGGCTGGTCTCGAACTCACAACGATCCTCCTGCCTCAGCCTCCCAAGTGCTGGGATTACAGGCGTGAGACACCACGTTTGGTCCTGAACCATTCTTCCTCCAGCGATGGATGCCTGGGTGGTCCTCACCTTCTTGCCACCACAAACACTGTTCCAGAGAACATCCCTGTACTTACCGAGCTGCGGATCCGCGTGAGAGCATCTCCAAGGCCAGAGTCTCAGGTGCGTGCACGCTTAGCCTCAGCTTGCTGTCTGTTCTGCAGTGTGGCCGCCAACGACGCCCACGTTTCCCCACATCCTGGCCGGCACTCGTCCTTAACCAGCCTTCTAAGTCTCGTCAATGCACAGTGCAGAACTGCAAAGCGAAGCAGCAATGCTACACTGGGCTTTTCTGATTATGAACAAGCTGAGCACCTCACCCCATCTCTCATTACCCCCCTGGGAACCAAGTGCTAGTTCATGGCCTCTGCCCAGTATCCTACAGGGTTATTAATTTTTTACAGAAAAATCTTTGTTGTTGTTTCACATCTTCTTTTATTAGTACATACTGGCTATACAGATTAGCGGGCTTTATTCTGGCAGAACTGTACATGTACATAACATACTTTGGTCATTCTGCCCCCTCTTTCACCTCCTGGTCCCCCCCCCCAGCTTCATGTTTGGGAAATTTT